AGACATTGATCTTGAAGGGAGTGCGACATGTTCTTGAAATTAGAAGAAATTTAGTTAGTGGGTCGTCTTTAGTCCAACAAGGTTATAAAGTTGTAATGGAGTCAAATAAAGTTGTGATAACTAGGAATGATATATTTGTTGGCAAATGATATGTTTGTGATGATTTATTTAAATTGAATGTACTTTTGGAAATTAATGAAATTTCTCATCAAGTTTTCAATGTTGAATCTTGTAATGTGTGGCATGGAAGATTAGGACATATAAGTCTAAAGAAAATCAAAAGGATGATGGATCTCAATCTTATTCCTAAATCTCATGTAGATTTCAAACATAAGTGTGAAATTTGTGTACAAGCCAAACAAACTAGAAAACCTCATAAAAGCGTAGAAAAAAAAATACTCAACTTCTAGAACTTATACATAGTGATGTATGTGATTCTAATAGACCGTCAACAAGAGCCGAAAATAAATATTTTGTGACTTTTATAAATGATTGTTCTAAATATTGTTATATTTATTTTTTCAAGAACAAAGATGAAGTATTTAATAAGTTTAAGATATATAAAAATGAGGTTGAAAATTAATTAGAGAGAAAAGTGAAAAGATTAAGGTTCAATAGAGGTGGTGAATATACTCTAACCGACCTTAGTACATTTTGTGAAGAACATGGAATAATACATGAAGTGACTCCTCCTTATTCTCCTCAATCAAATGGGATAGCTGAAAAAAAGAATAGAACTTTAATGGATATGGTAAATTCAATGTTGATTAGTTCCGGCTTATCTGATAATTTGTGGGAGGAAGCTATACTTAGTGCTTGTTTCATCTTGAATAAAATATATGTTAAAGATAATGAGAAAACTCCATATGAGATATGGAAGGGAAAAGTTTCTAACCTTAGTATCAAGAAAATGTGGGGGTGCTTAGCTAAGGTAGCTATTCCTGAACCAAAAAGAAAATAGGTCCTAAGACTGTAGACACCGTTTTTATAGGATATGCCCAAAATAGTAGTGCTAATAGATTCTTAGTTATTAACTCAGAAATTAGTGGAATTTCAAACAATACTATAATTGAATCTAGAGATGCTACATTTTTTGAAGATATTTTTCCTTTTAAAAATACAATGCCTAGTCAAGTAAGAGAAACACCTTCAACTAGTGATCAACCTTCAACTAGTTCTATTGCTCTAATAGAGAAAAATATAGAACAACATGTAGAGCTAAGGAGAAATAAAAGACTAAGAATAGATAAGGACTTAGGTGAAGGATTTTTTACTTTTCTAGTAGAAGGAGAGCCAACGACATATAAAGAAACTATGTCTTCTATAGATGCACCTTTTTAGAAGGAGACTATTAATAGTGAAATTGAATCTATATTACTTAATAATACTTGGAAGATAGTAGAATTGTCTCCTGGAAGCAAAGCTATTGGGTGTAAGTGAGTATTTAAGAAGAAACTAAAACCTGATGGGAGTATAGATAAATATAAAGCTAGATTGGTGGCTAAAGGATTTACTCAAAAGAAAAGGATAGATTATTTTGATACATACTCGCCTGTGACTAGTATTACTACCATTAGAATACTTGTAGCCCTAGCATCTATCCATAACTTAGTAATACATCAAATGGATGTCAAAATCGCTTTTTTAAATGGGGATTTAGATGAAAAGATATATATGGAACAACCTGAGGGGTTTGTGGTAAAAGGATAAGAACATAAAGTTTGTAAGTTAGTAAAATCTTTATATGACCTTAAACAAGCTCCCAAACAGTGGCATGATAAGTTTGATAAAGTAATTCTAGAGTATGGTTTTCAAATTAATGAAAGTGATAAATGTTTATACTACAAGGATAGTGATGTTGGTTGTGTGATTTTATGTCTCTATGTAGATGATATACTAATTTTTGGGACAAACTTGGAGGTCGTTAATGATGTTAAATCTTATTTATCTAGTAAGTTTGATATGAAAGATTTGGAAGAAGCCTATGTAGTCTTGGGAATGAAAATAGAAAAAACATCTAATGAAATATCTCTAAGTCAGTCTAGCACCATAGAAAAAATGTTGAAAAAATTTGGTAACTATGATAGTAAGTCTATATCAACACCATATGATCCTCATGTACATTTGAAGAAAAATAAAGGAGAACCGATTTCACAATTGAAGTACTCACAAATGATTGGATCTTTATTATATATAGCAAATAAGTTTAGACCTGATATCTCGTATGCCGTAGGGAGACTAAGTAGATATACACATAGTCCGAGTAAAGAGCATTGAGTTGCCTTAGAGAGAGTCTTTAAGTATCTTAAAGGAACCTTACACTACTCTTTATGTTATAATAGATTTCCTAGTGTAGTTGAGGGCTTTAGTGTTGCAAATTGGATCACCGATAATTTGGATATAAAATCCACTATTGGCTATATCTTTTTGTTAGGAGGAGTAGCCATATCTTGGGGATCTAAAAAACAAACCCTAATATCAAGAAGTACTATGGAGTCAGAACTTATAGCCTTAGATATCACATGTGCTGAAGTTGAGTGGATAAAAAATTTATTACTGAAGATACTTCTAGTGGAAAAACTCATATCTACCATTTCATTACATTGTGATAGTAAGGCAGTGATTGAACTTGTGAAGTAAAATCATAATAATAAAAAGATGAATAGACATATACAAGTGAGATATAAATCAATAAAGAAAATACTGAGTAAAAGCATAATCTTACTAGACTTTGTGAAGTTTGAGCTTAATATAGCTGATCAGCTAACTAAAGGGCTTTCGAGGAAAGCTGTCTCAGAACTGTCGAGGGGGATAGGCTTAAGCCCACAATGGAGTCACCTAGGGAGGTAACCCAACTTTTGTGATTGGTGACACCATGAAGGAAGTTCAATGGGTAGAAACAATTCATACTGCGTGATTCATTAGCACTATTATTTTGGAAGTATCCAAGGGGAGATATTTTCCTGCTCATCCCTATGACAGAAGTGCATATGTAGTGTGACAGTAAAAAAAGATTTTACCCTGAATGAGACCGAGACAGGAACACTCTTGCAGGGTATTGTGCACATGTATCCTTGGAAGGCTCACCTAAGTGAGAGTAGTTGTGAGGCCGCGACTATGAGAATTGAGCTATTCTCTAGAAACTCTCATGAGAATCAAGATCAAGTGCAAGGCCATTAATAGCACTGATTCGCGAATCTTGACCAATATCGATACTGTGTGTATGACATGTTGAACTCTGGTCCAAAAGGATCTAGTTCAAGCCTTTGGTCACAATGATCCTTCAGAGGAGAACTGTTAACACTAAATGAGGTTCAAGTCTGGAAGACACCTACACCTATTGTACAGTATAATAGTTGCCCATATTTTCTATATTAAAGTATATACAAAATATTTGAGATACTTTAAAGTTTCAAAAACTTGTGGGGGATTGTAAAAATAAAAATTAAGTTTTTAAAATTTTTTAATTATGTTTAAATTATGAATTTCAGTTATAGTTCTTTTTCCCTATTTAGTGTATATATTAAAGAATAATAATAATTATTAGTTTTATAGGTATTCAAGGCAAACAATGAAAAAGAATAAAAATCAGTTACACGTTACAGGCAAAGGGCCAAAGCCAAACGGTCAAATATTTAAAGTGGATTTTGAAAGTCATGGGTTATACAGCGGCTATATAAAGGTGAATTTGAGAAAAAATTTTAGTAGTGTACGAAATCAACACTTCTTATTGCTCAGTAGACTTTCCAATAGCTCATATCATTCTTTTACACTTTGGCCTATTTTCTAGTTCCTGCTTTTACACTTTGGCCTACCTTTTCTATTCCTTCTTTAACACTCAGCCTACTTTTCAATTATCATTTATTTTATTTTGGGCAACTCGATTCGAGTCGGGTTCATTTCAACCTTTCAGTTGACATGACCATTGAGAAAGTGCTACTGCGAGCGTCTGAGTTGGATCTTGGAGTCGTTAGTGTCCGTCAGTACCCTCACGTGGGGAGGCTCAGCTGCTTTAGGACAGTGATCACATGCTTCTCGAATTCGCAGGCCAGCTCATTCCAAATTAATTTATTTAGTTTATATAAATTGCATGTTTATACATTTTATGTGTTTATTTAGATTGCATGTTATATGATCTAACTATTGTTTACATGCTTTATTTCGAATTATAACACTTAAAATTATGTTGCTCATATCATAATTCTAATATTTGTTAATTTGGCCAAAAATTCAATAGCAATAATTCTTAATTCTAATTATAAATCTGTCCTTAAAATCTATAATTATTTTTACCCCCATCAACTTGCCATATGCTACAATGGGAGAGTGTCAGAGTTGAGGCTGAGGCCCAGCTGTCAATGGAGTCGTTGCTCCTCAACCCATGTTCAACAGATAAAACCAGTTGTGATTACTTTATCCGTTTATGGAATTCCCTTTAAGAAATATGTTGAAAAACAAATGAACCAGATGGAATGGCATGTCAAAGCCCAGTGTATCAGATATCCTCCTCAACAAATGTTGAATCTGGTTCAAGCTCCTCAATTTCGCATGAATTGGATGATTTCTCAGACACGGCACAGAAGCGGCTGCTAGATATTCCCAGTGGTAATTATTTGGAATTCCTAGGAGGAGAAATTAGATGATGTCTCCATTTGTCTCAACATTAAATCCGACTGCCTAGAGGGTGCCGTGTGAGGTGCTATACATGCAATTCTGTAATGAATCCTAGCATTCACTCTGCTTGGTGTTCTCATTTTCATATGGGTCTGGCTATAACCTCACGATGAACAAGAGCCTATCAGAAGCCAGAGTAGGGTTTCGATTTTCTGGTGGAGCTTACTAGGATTCAGAAATTACAGTTTGAGATTTTCGTTCACCAGCAGCTTTCATCATACAATGAATTGCATGGTTGTATGCTCTGAATAGCCCATCAAATATGTATAAAGCTTTGTTTCTCTTGATTTTGTTAACGGCAACAATTTTGTCATATCTTTTTATTTTTCATTGTACAGAAAATATAACTATAGCTTGCAGGTTAACTGATAAATTGAAGCAGCTATTTTCATCCAAATGGTATGTACACAAAAATACACCACTCTTCACACATAATAAAAGAACAACATCCAATTCTCCAACATATAAGCATACAATACACCTAAACTATCAAACAATGCCAAAAGGAAATTTACAAATGGAACTTCACAGCAATTTTCAAATCAGACCTGATAAATTCAGATTCAAAACAAACCAAGGAGTTTCTTTGGAGAAGTTCCAGTGGCGCGGTACTTTGCTGCCATCTCCTCTGCCTTAAGAAGATCTTCACCACGTTTAGCTTCGGTCATTGCCCTCTTTTCTTCTGCTGACTTGTGAATGAGAGCAACCTTGTTTTTCATCTTCTCCACATATTCTGCTTTCTTCTTCTCCAATTTCTCCTGCTCACCATAAGTAATATAAAAATAAAATCAGCTCCCATAACTTAGGCCTTTTCTATTTCATAATACCCTCATACCTAATAATTTAAATTTTTTTACCTCAACCTGTTTTAGCTCAGCCTCTATCGTTGCTTTCTTGCTGTTCTCCCAAGCGCCAATGGCAGATAGCTTTTTTTGAGCTCTGTTGAAGGGTTCCAGATTGTTAGACTTAGCAAACACAAATTCATACAACATACTTTCTTCTGAGATTGAAATTGAAATATGACTTTTAAGTGTTATATTTAGCCCATCTTAGTAAATGATTCTAAGTACATGTTCAAGAGAGAGAATCTACCAATAAGCTTACTTGTTCTCGGCTTTTGATTTCTCACTTTCTTCCCATGCCCTGACTAATGACAGCCTCTTCTCTGTCGCTACTCTTTCGAGTACAGCATCTGAAGAAAATTTTAAGGAAATCACTCAAAGCAAAAGATTGAATCATCGACTTACAACATGAATCTATAAGAAAGGGGAGAAATTGAACTTTTTAGATGAATTAATCATGATTACCTCTGTTGATAGAGCCTTCAGGACCTTTCTCCGCAGCTGATTCAGGTGCCTCTGTCACAAAAAATCAAACAATTAGAGTACACAGAAAAGCAAAAAATGAAGCTGGCTACTGTGTTTGGGGATGGAAGATGGATGTGTGTGAGAGAGAGAGAGAGAGAGAGTACTTTCAGCAAGGACGAGTGCTTTGGACTCATCAGGTTTCTCTTCAGGAGGTGGATCTACGGCTTTCTCCTCGGCGACATCTTTTGGAGCTGGAGTTTGGACGGGTTCCGGTGCCGGAGCTGGAGTCTCCGGAGGCGGTGGAGGCTCTGATGATGGTGCCTCAGATTCTATCTTCTTCTGCTCCTCTTCTGCCATGTCTTTTTTCTGAAATTGAAGGATGTGAATCGAGAATTGGATAAAGTTTAGGGTATAAAGAAATGAAGCAAACAATGGAGAGAGAGAGAGAGAGACAGAAATACAGAGATAATATGTATAGGTGCGTGTAGGTGAAGATACTATGGTTGGGAGGAAGGTAACTGTCGTTTGAAAGACTAGCTGGATGATAGTTATAGATTGGCCAATTATGAGTTGGCACCACCCCACACGCACAGAGGAGAGAGGGAGAGACACGTTGGGCCAAAAAGGATTAAAGCAGTGAGATGAGACACTCCTTTATAACGGTGCTCCAGCAGGGCTTTTACCACATCCATGACCGTTTCTTGTGTCTTTCCATATTTGCATTGCAAGTATAAAGATTGCTACCCTCCTATTGATAGGAAAAGGAACTAAAGAGATGGAGGGCAACCCCTTTCCCTTATGAAAAAGATGTGTAAAAGCTTAGGGGAGGAGAAAGAAGGAAATAGGTATTCAACATTTGGGGACATGGATTCATATTCCCATCAATACGTTTTTTTTTTCACATTTTTTTCCTATTCTAAATCATTCGCTATGAATTCAATTGTAATATGATGTATCTAAGTGAATGTCCGGTCAATAAAGGGTGAAATATCACATTAAAAAAAATTAAAAAAGAATGTTTTGAAGGAAATCTGAATCCATACAAAAAAAAAAGATGAATCTTTTGGGTGTAGAATAAAAAAGGTGAAAAAAAAAATCAATTTAGGCTTATTTCCTTTCATTTATATCCATTCCATAAATATCAGTTTTGTAGGCCATATATGTGATAGGATCAATTTAATTTGTCTTCACTTTGCTTCCTTGAGGGGGAGTCATTACATGTTTTGTCCACTTCTTCTTTGATTCTTATAGATGGCAGGGGGCAGAGTAGAACCAGGGTTTCCACGACGTTCTTCAAAAGTTGCGATCTTTTCAATGTTATTTTCCTCAATTTTAATTAGTGTGTTAGAGTGTATTTGGTAACATTTTTGTTTATATATTTTTTTTTTTATAAAAAAATCAAACTAATTTTGATTTTTTTGTGATAAAAATTAAAAAATATAAAACATGTTTAATAATTATTTATATTTAAAAAATTATGAAAACAAAAATAAAAAAACATGTTTGATATTTTACTCAAAATCCACCACCCAACACCACTAACGACCACTCAACCTCATCGAAAAGCCACCTGCAAACTCCCTACAATCCACCACCCACCACTAGGAATGTTAGTGGATCAAAGCGGGGGTTGGGGAGTGTAGTGTCCATCCCCGTATCCGCTTAAAAAAATTCCGTCCATCTTAGGGTCACTCCCGTTAACGGGTATAATTTTTATCCCCATCCCAGTCCGCGGGTAAATTTTTAATCCCCATCCCTGTCCCCTTCCACGTTTTTCTCGTACCCGCCTAAGCCCAAACCCAAGTCTAAACCCAAAACCAAGCCTAAGCTCAAGCCCAAGTAGAATAATCCAAAATTTTAAATAAATTCAATATTTTAAATAATCTAACAACATTCTAAATAATCTAACACAACATAATGTAGATAGCAAAATGTAAAAGTCAAAACAATATAGTATTAAATTAAAGTGTTATTGGACCACAAAAAGAGAAATAAAACTATTAGAAAGAAATGAAGAAAAAGAAAATAAAATTGAACTAAGAAAACGATAGCACTACACTTGAAGTTTCTTAGAAGAATTTTTGTTATTACAATTCATATTATAGCCATAAAGTGTTAAAAGATGAAAACTTAAAATTTCTCTAATTCAATAATTCTCCCCCATTTCTTAGTTCACTCTAGTAGGGAAACTCAACAAACCCCCATTCACAATATTTCTATCCACGATGAAATGCAAAACTATCTTACTCTCTCTTATTTATTTTTAGAGTATGGTCAATTCAAACTCTTAACAGTTTCAATCAGTGAGTACAAATAAAAAAAAATAATGAAAAAAAATTGATAAGATTACTACATAGCAATGCCACTTGTTAGTTTGATTACTATATTTCTAGATCGATAGTTATAGTAAATATGTTTAGTTAGGGTTTGAGAGTATTTATATATATATTTAACGGGTAGCGGGGCCGGGGCGAGGGTAAGAGTAAGTTCATCCCCGTATATATCTATCATCCAATACGTATAGTTCATCCCCGGTCCAAACGGAACTAGTTTGGACAAATACACATTTTTCCCAGTCTACTGCCATTCTTACCCACCACCCCCAAAAACCCACCCCCAAAACCCACCACCAACACCACCAAAATCCGCCACCCAACCCCTTGCAATACCCGAGCAAAAAAATAGAGATGGGAGAAAGAGAAAGAGAGAAAGAGACAGGGGATTTGGAAAAAAAAAGTGAAAGAGTAGAGAGTGTTTTTATACTCAAACAAGAAAATCTTTTTTTTGCTGCTAAAGAGAATTGAAGTCCGGATCTCATTAAATCCATTGTGAAGTCGCACGTGTGTTTTGTTTTTTGGATGTTTTCAAAATCATCTTTTCGGAATTTCCATATTTTTGCCTTATTTTCAAAACGGAGCAGTAAAAAAAAAACCAAAACATTCACCCAATGCTTTTTTTTTTGCCATAAAACAAAAACAAAAAATAAAAATAAAAACTCCCTCCTACTAATTAATAATGTTACAATTATCCAATTTTTTGAATTTAATCATTGTGAATTGGTGGATAAATCCGATTTAATCATTGTGAATTAATGGATAAATGGGGTTGATTAACTTTCACAAAACATCAACTGATGATTTTAATGTGTCAAATCAGTTAGCAAAATAAATCTGATAAAAGATTTTAGTGCATGCAACTTTCTTCAATATCTATATGAAACATTTATACCAGAACATGAGTAGTATAACCCTGATGCCATATGACAACTTCACCATACTAGATTATTCAATTTGAATTCACAATATTCAATTACTACTTCATGAATGTCAAATTTTCACTAATATAATGGGTGATCAAGAATTATAGAAATCAAGGAAAGTTTAGTAACTGAAATCAAAACTGTAGCCCCCAAATATTATTATAGATATGAGTTTATTTCTTTTTTCAAAGGTCAGGGGTGTTCGGTCTAACTTATGCGTATCTCCACTAATTCTCTTCTTGGTCTGGTCATATACAGGTTATTCATACCAAAATTAAAATAATCATGATGAAAAAATTATTTATGATCTAACTCCTAAAAATTTCTAATATTTAAATTTAAGATAACTGAATTTACGATTCATATCTCTTATACCTTTGAATTGGACATGAGTTTATGCACATTATGGATCCTGACGTCACAAATTACTTGCTTTATTTTCCTTTTCAACTTGTCCAGAGAATCCACTTTAGTTCATCAGATTCGTTCATTTATAACAGCAAAATAAAAAAGATTCTTTCATTTATAGATGGTGGCCTTGCTGTAAAGTAGAATCATTGTCCGTTTTGCAAACAAAACCCGAGGAAACGTCGTCGAGTTATTCAACCAACCGCCGGGAAATATCTGCTAGTTTTGTAATTGATTCCGGAGCTGACAATGGCCGACTGCTCTTCAGTTCAAGTCATTTTTATATCGTATTTAAATATTTTTATTTTAAAATTTGTTCAATCTATATTTAACTTATTTATAATAAAATTAATTATTGCTTGTGCCTGAAGGCACAGAATAATAAAAAAAATGATTAAAATAAATATATTTATATTTACACTCAAAATCAAATTATAAACAAATAATTAAAATAAATATATTTATATTTACACCCAAAATCAAATTATAAACATAGAATAAAAAAAAAAATTTAAATATCAGTTATAGTGGTGGTGGTGGTGGTGGTGGTGATGGAAGACGGTGATGATTATGATAGGTGACGACGACTGTAGTGATGGTGATAGTCATGGGAGACAATGGTGATGCTAGTGGTGGATTTTTGATGACGATGATGGTATAATGATAGTCATAGGTGATGACAGTGATAGTTGTAGGCGACGCTGATGGTAGTTAACAGTGGTGGTGGGGCAACGACGATGGTGTGTAGTGATGATGGTGGTGGTGGGCGACGACGGGTACTTCTGGACAACAATGTGATAGGTTGTGATAAATAGTGGTGGTAATGGTGGTGGTGGTAAGTGTGGTGGGGTTGGGTGATAGTGGGTGGCGACAGTAGTGGGTGATGACGATTGATGGTGGTTAGTTTGATGGGGGTGGGTGATAGTGATTGGCAACGATGGTGGTTAATGATGGGTGGTGGTGGATTGTCATAGTGGGTGACAATTAGTGGTGGTGAGCAACAATGGTAGTGGTGGGTGTTGACGGTGGGCGACGGAAATAATGTTAATAAATATAAGAATGAGATGAAAATTATGATTGACGGTGACAGTGGATGACGGTAATAGCAATCGATAGTGGGGGCAACGATGGCAGGGGGGAGGTGGTTGTGGGGGTGGGATGTCAACAATAGCGACAACGATAGTGTGGTGGTGGTAAGGTGACGATAGTGGTGGTGGGTTGTGGTGGGCCAGTTGGTGTGGTGGTGGTAGAGCGATTCCAAATATTATTATTATTTTTAAAGTATTCATAAGTATTTATAAGTTTTAGAATTACTTTTAAAAAGTCATCTCAAATACACCATTCAATGTTTATTTTTCTTATTAAATTTGAAGTGTTAATATTAGCCATCAGGTTAACTTTATAATAAAATTTTAAGAGATTTCAACCGCAAAAAACAAAAACTATTTTATTTATTTTTTAAAATTTGAATTGTATTATACTTTATTATATAGATTTATCCTGATTTATATCACATCCGGTTCATTTAGTTTATGCAATAACTTCAATTAAACTAAATTGATTGACCTAATTTCTAAGCTCAAACTCTTTATACATCTACATTTTTTTTCCTTATAAAATGTCTATTACTCGTTTGAATTCAGCGGTTGTCACCGTAACTTGAATTGAGTTAGAGCATATCCACAAGAGTGACTAACCTTTATAAATTGTGATAAGAAATTGAATTTGAGACATCTGAATTATTAGTATCATTCGTAAATTATTAAAATATATTAAATCTAAATAGCTTTTATGTTAATTCTGTTATGTTTGGTGGGACACACTAT